GGGGGGGGGAGGAAATTCCTGGTCTTTTTTAGCAGCGCCTTCTCCCAGAGCGGGGATCCAAGAGGGATGTTCATATAGGCTGATAGTTCGCAAGCTCGGCTGTTCTTTCCGAAACTGTAGCAATTGATCCGGCAGGGACCTCTACTTTGTAACTTGGGCGATTGTGAGATTGCTTCAAAATGGCGGATGCAAGATTGGGAGAATTTCCCTCTTACTTCTTCAAAGGTCTTTCTGACTTCAGGGGGGTTTTTTGTTTTGTTTTGTTTTGTTTTTTTAAAGGATTCTGGGTTTTCATGGCTTTAGAACTCAAGACCCAAAGTTCCACAAAATGGGACTCCATTACTGCAACCTCTTTCTGACTTCAATGCAGAGGACAAAACTCATCTCCCCCCCCCCTCCGACCCAACCCTCCCCAGAGAGAACGTAATGTAATTCTGTAAAAGTCTCTTTCAGGGGAGTTTCTAGAATCTCAGCAGTCCAACTAATTCAGCTGCACCTACCACAAAACCATTAGGTTTCCTGTCTCTTTTCCTTTCAGCGATAACAGTTGTTTGGAGACCGTGAACATAAGGTTGCTTTGAAATACACAGTCACAAATTAAACCCAATGTGTCTCCTGCAAGTTGCAGTCCTCTGATAAAAACAAAACAATCTCACTACTTTGAAAAGTCTTCAGTTTTTTATAACTTCTACAGCGCAAACCAAATTCTTTGCCAGAGGGGCACACGAGAAAAACGGAAGTGTTCCTTCATAGTCGCCTAGCACCCGATTAGAACCGCCTGCCACCTCGCACACACGCGTAACGCGTTCCAGCCGAAAAAGCCACCACCGGCCAAAAAAGCCACCACCGACCGAAAGCGCCAGCGCAGGCCGCCTCCCAGCGCTCCCTGGCCCTTCTCCCGGCGAACTGGCTAAAATCCGTAGGAGAGACTATCGGGATTTTTACTCTCGGTTCCCTCTCTTACAAAGACAAGAGAAGAGGAGGAAAAAGAAAGAAGACGCACTCTCTCGACAGTCAGCCCGGGTCTGCACACTCCAAAGAAGGGGACCGCGGGCCCCTCCAGCTAACTTTTCAACCCCTGCACCAACGACTCCTCTCTCCCTTCCTCTCCAAGCCAAGTCCAGGAGGGGAAAAGGTGTATATATATATATTTTATATACTTATATATAATATATATATATATGTGTGTGGCGGATACACACACACACACACACACACGACTCCCGGAGTGGCCTGTGGAGCACTCGTACCTGGAAGTGCCAGTGGCCAGTCAGCGCCTGCACCTCGAGCGCCAGAGGCTCGGCCCCGCGGTCCCGCTCCACTGCCCGCCCGGGCCCGCGCGGCCTTATATCTAACGGTCAATTCGTGCAATCTGTCGTTCCCCACCCCCCTCTGCCCCCTCCCCCCTAAACCTCGTGGGCTTCTCCCCACCCCCGCCTTTTCCAAGGAGCGCATCTACCAGTTGCTCTACCCTCGCTCAATAATAATTACCTCGTCCGAGAATTAATTATAATAAATGTTTTCTTGATAAACTAACGAGATAATCCGAGGGGCACACGTCCCCTAATTACAGGCCGCCGTGCTCAGCTCTGCTGCTCGTCCGGGCTGATTAATTTTCTGCATGATGGAAGGGACACAACACTCCGTGGGCTGCTGGCTGGCCCGCGGCTCGGAGGACGCCGCCCAGGCGCGGGGAAGGAGGGCGGCGACGCGGGCGCGGGGGGCGCCGCCGGCTCGGGCCTCTCTCGGGCGAACTCTAGCCAAAGTTGGGGGCGTGAGGGACTCAAACTACGCGGTGAGGGAGGGCGGAAGAAACGTGCCAAAAGGGGTGGCCTGGCTATTAATTATCATTAGGAGCAAGCCCGGGTGTGAGCTCGGCGAGGTCGGGATGGCTACCTGACATTGGGGGGGAGGAGTTTCCACACGTTCCCCACCCCCCGCCAGCCCCCAACTCCTCTCCTGCTAATAACTTTTGGTGGCTGGAGGAAGTCCGGAGGTGAGTAGAGACAAGCTGGTCCCCAAGCTCTAGGTCCCGGAAGGACTTCCTGGTCCCCTCCCAAGTCATCCACAGCTGCAGGGCCCGCGCGGCCTGGCCTGCTGGCCCCGCACCCCCGGTCCGCCGAGGAGGAAACGCGCCCCGCCTTCGGACGGCTGCTTTGCGGGCATCCTTGGAGCCCAGCAGCGCCTTTTTCGGAATGGTGGCGCGAGGAGTGGCCCAGTCGGCGTCGGCGGCGACCTTCGCTTGGGCTCCGGGCGCCGGCGGAAAGCAGAGGCTAGGCCTCGTCCGGTCCTTCGACCCCAGCCAGCCTCGGCCCACGACGTCCCGTTGTCCCCGAGCCCCGCCGCTGCCCGCTCGAAAGCAGCGGAGCTGCGGGACTGCAGCCCGGGGCTGAGCAGGGGGCACCCACTGCCGCTCGTGCCGGCCCCAGAGCGGCGCCCAGGAGAGCGCGGGGCAAGCCCGGAGGCAGAGCCCGCCAAGCCCCTGCGCCCAGCCACCGGCCTTCGCTCGCTGGGCCTGGTGACCCAGGGCTAGGGATCCGACACACGGTGGCGGTGGGGGAGACCTGGCGCTCCCAAGGCCTGGGGGCGGAGATCTCAAAGAAAGAAGACCCCCGAGGCCTTTGGAGAAGGCCGACACCGTCGGGCGGACCCCAGCGGCCTCCGCACTCCCGAATGCCGGCGGAGAAGAGCGAGGGCGCGCGCGAGGCAGGCGCCAGGCCCGCGCGCTCGTCTCTGGGTCACCAGCCCGGTCCCCTTTCACGTGCACCACCACAAGCTGGCGCGGGAGAGGCGGCCACCCACCAGCGACTTGCCACCCAGCCGGGCTCCAGGTGTGCTAGTCAGGGGAGGCTCCAACCTTATTTTTCGATTGTTTTTTAATCCTTCTATCTATCTTCATCTTTCAGTCTCGGATACTAAAAACGTCCTTGGGATCAGTCCAAGCGACCCCAGACAAAACTGGGGGCAAAGCACAAAAATCGTAGGTGCGAGCCCCGAACGGACGTTGACATAAACTCCCCCACACCCTCCAGGACACCCCAAATTAGACTCTAGGCATTTCCAAGATTTTATACAGAAGCGGCCCCAGGAACTGACAGGGCTCCCTCTCCAGCCCCCACTTCTTGAATATAAAATGGTCTCAAAGATCCTTCTTAGACCTCAAAATTGATAAGTGAGAAGGACGTGCTCCGAGTGCGTTGGCTAATCTATTCAAGGTCTTGGGGGCGGGCGTGGGGGGAGTGAATGGTGGACAGACAGGGGGGCACATGCATCTAGACAGATGAGGCAGACACTTACCTTACAGCCGCATAGGAAGTTGGAGAGGGGGGAATAAAATTATTCTCCAAAATTCCCAATAGCCAGCTATCCTAAAAGAAATCGAGAGCATTGAGTTAGAATCCTTACAGCTTTCACCCTTCTATTAAAAAAAAAAAAGTCAACCACCACCACCAAAAAATTTCAGGGACGGAAAATAAGGAAATCGGCAGGGTTGGGAAGTCGCGCGGGCCCCTCCGCGATACATACAGAGTAGCAGTGATGAGTGCTCTAGCGATTTTTATTTTTAATAACAGTGGAGGCTGAGTTGGAGCTGAGGTCGGCTCCTCTCTCAAGGAGATTTGCTGAGAAAGCGCCTCTCTGGCAACTTTTTGACGCAAACTCTCCAACCAATGGCAGGGAGCGAATGATTGACACATCTAAGCCAGAGGGAACATAATAAAAACACACAACAGGGGAGGAAAACAGGCCTCTGCTGCACAGGGGGACGAGCAGGCAACAAATCCAGGCCTCTGACATTACCAGAATGTTCTTGAAAGACACTGGGCTCCGCTTTAAAATATACATTATGGGGCCGGAGCATGTGAACTAATTGTATAATTAAAATGATGGACAGGGAGACCTTGCCTCGCCTTCTTTCCCCTTTCTTCCTTTCTTCCCTGCCTTTCCCTTCCCTGCCTTTCTTTTTCCGTTTTTGGTTTTCAAGCGGAAAGGAAAGGAAAAACCCATCCAGTGAAGGATGGGAATATTTAAAAAAAAAACACCCCCCAAACTCCAGGAAAGGCTGGAGATGGGTAGAGGGAAGAGACTAACTGGGTGATCTCGCTCCTGGCTGGCAAGGAGTGTTCAAGAGGCAGAGAACAAGGCAAAATCTGCAGCTTACCCACGCGCCCGTGCCCTCGTCACCGGGGTCAGGCCACGCGGAGGGCCAGATTGGGTAGGGAAGGCGGCCTGGGAGAGAGGCACGCGCGGAGGGAAGAGACAGATAACGCCAGTCCAAGAACAAACCCAAACTCCTGCCCTCACGAAACACTCCCTGCCTGGTTCCGGACTAGGCTCTTGTGCTCCGGGGCTCCTTTGGAGGTTTGAAATAGATGAAGCCCAGGGCAGTCTGGAAAAAAAACCAAACGACAACAGAACAACACCCACCCCCAGAATCTAACCTCAGAGGTTTGGGGAAAACCACGGGGCGCCAATGGGGGCTAGCAGGATACTCTGAGGAAGGAACCTGCGAGGCCCCATCTGGAAATAATGTCTGTCTCCAAACACACGCCGCCTCTAGCGAGTTGGGCCGGCGCCGTGTTGGCCTGGGGCGGGGAGCCCGGAGGCTGGGAAGTGGCGGGACCTGGAGACCTGAGCTCCAGAGGGCCGGCTTCGGCCCAACCTATTCCGCCTGACGCAGCGAGTACTGGCTGGACAGATTTCTCCCAGATCTGGGTCCCTAAAAAAGCATGGGCTGGGCGGAGTATGGGGGTGGGTGGGGTGGCCACTGGTCGACCGGCCGAAGATGTGCGAATGGGGGACCAAGTCGGGGCAAGGCCGAAAATAGTTTTGCCCTTAAAACCCTCAAGGCAGAAAAATCCAAATAAAATCTCTTCCCATACACCGCCTCCTCTCCTGGCCCCCCACCCCCACCCCTGCCCCCTCTACGGCAAGTGGACCCAGAGAAACGGCTCGCTGCCTTTAATTTGGGGACCTATGTTAATGAAGTTGGTAATTAATTCGTCGCTTTGTTGTCGGTTCTTAGACGGTATGTGTAATCAAATGTGGCCATCCTCGGGATTTACAGCAATTAACGAGTTTTGGGAGAGCGCGCTCCGCGGCCAGCTCTCGGCCGCAGGACTGGGACCCGGCGTCCGGCCTCCTCGCAGGTGGCTCTGGGGCTGTGGGCTCCGGTGACCTCGCGAGGCTCCACCCGGGGCCTGCACGGCTGCCCGGGTCCAAGGAGACTCGCAGGCTGTCGTGTTCCTGGGAATAGCTACTTTCTGGGGGCCTGGGCTGGGGCGGGAGGGGGGGGGCGAGAGCATGGGGGAGAGGGTGAGTACAAACGTGGATTTCCCACCCCGCCCCCACTGTACTGATGCACCTGGCGACCTCCCCCGAGGCAAGGAGGAGTGTTGGGGAAGGGGAGGGGGGGTGTCAAATGCCCTAGGCGGTCTGGCCAGCATGGCGCGGGCTGTCGCAGGAGCTGGTGGGGAGCGCTGAGCCAGAGCATCGATGCTGTCCAAGAAGGAAGGATGAAGACACTCCTAGTCCTCGTCCCGGAGCCCTCTCCCCACCCCGTTTCAACATCTCTCCCTGTTTGGTCACAGAGATGTTTGAGAGAGACAGAAAATAAGACTTTGGGGGTTTGGAGAAGGGGAAGTCGGCAGAGACCTGCAGGACAGCGGGGGTTGGGTGGCATGGAGAAATATCCCAACACTCACTGGTAATCGCCACGAAATAAGTGGCATTCTTTGGAATGAGAGGTATCTGCTGCCGGGGCTAGTGTCCAAAACCCCACTAGACCGTGGCCGAGGTTGGCGACACTCTCAGATGGCCCTAGCAGCATTTCCTGGAAAAGTCCCCAATTCTGGCTAACTGGGGCTCTGGGAGGGCTGCGCCCTGTCCAGGGGCCCCAAGCAGGCAGCTCCTGCTTCTCCTGTGCCCTGGAGTCTAATAACTTCGCAGAAATTCCGGGCCAATAAACTGTCAGTTGGAAATGGACAGTGTTAAATAAACAAGGGTCTCTTTAAAATTCTCATCCACTTCAGATGTCTAAAGTAAGATTGTGATGATTTTGTCACGGTTTGGTAAATTTACCCCTTTAAGAGGCTTTCATAAATCCCAGAACACACCTTCAGCCAGATTTGAATATAGATTTAGGTTTTAAAACCCAGAAGCTGGAAACACCGCTTTATCAAAGAGAATTTCCCTTTAGCTTAGCAATGTGCTGAAGCTCTTAAAAGATTGGATCTGTGAGAGAGGGAGAGGAAGAGAGAGAGGCAGGGAGGAGAAAGAACTAGAGACAGATAGGCAGACAGGGAGAAGGGAAGAGAGGGGGGTAAAAAAGACTTTCTTTTTTTTTTTTTTCTTTCTAGAGGAATTCTGCCCAGACTGCAGCAGTTGGCAGCAGGCAAGCTTCCTCCTGGGTGTCTTCTGGAAAAGTTGCAAAATTGCTCTTCACCTGTAAGAACACGCTCTTTACCTTCCAGTCGCTTCTTGTCCATTCGGAAATTGCAGACAGCCCCGGCTCAGGTACCGTCCCCACCAACCCTCCTCTAGATCAGGACAAAAGCCACTGGGGTGGGGTGGGGGTGGGGGTGACTGGGCAGCTGCACTGAAAACCTGAGACATTTGGTGGGAGGAAAAAGATTCTTTGGATGAAAAGTCTAACTACTGATTTTCAGTAAGTTCTTGAACTTGTCAGTACGTTTGATTTCCTCTGGTCTTGTTTAACTTCGCCTTTCCCCTTCTGTGTCCTCTGCCGTGTTTTGTTTTGGGTTTTTTTTGGTCCTTTTTCGAATTTTCTGTGACTCTTACTGAGGGTCGCATGCTTTGCGATTTAAAATCATTTTCATTAACAAGTGGATCGTTTTTTGTTGCCATATGTATCGTTCCCTGAATTGCCTCTAAGTATACGTACCCAGAAGCTGAACTAAGAACTGAACGGGTCCGTGGGAATCTGATGGTTTGTCAGCGTGTGCATGCAGTTTCCAGAATATGGCTGATATTCATATTTCCAAATCTAGGTTCATGACTGGAGACTGGCTGGGTTGACTTTCTCTACTCACACACCAGGCCAGTTTAAAATATTCCAAACTTTCCTCCAAGTTTATTAACTATGGTGGGGGGAGGGGTGGACAACGGAGGGGGGAGGGGAGGGGAGAGGGGATCTTCCAGGCTAATTAAAAATGAAGAAAAAGAACAAAACCCACATTCCGTGAGAACATAGCCTCTCAGGGGGAAAGGAGTCAGTCAGACGGCCTGAACACTGACTTCAGAAATATGAAGATTAATTTCCAATCTTTTCAGGGAGTCTGGACAGTGGGAGACCTGCCTGGATGGTTAGAAAGAAGTCATTTTTTCACTGGGTTTTTAGCTATGTCTTTATTACAAACTTTGACAAGATTAACTTTAATTATTTTTTAACGAGGGTTTAAGGTCTATGGCAGTGCAGGCAGACCATGGGGGCAAATAGCAGGCAACAGGAGCGCTGAGGAGCTTCAGTCCCTCGGCCCCTCCATTGCGATTTTCTCAGAAAAGAGGGTAAGTGGGGGGAGAGGGGGGGGGGAGAAGCAGCTTCAAAGATAGGCTTGTGCTGTCTCGATAAAAGAGGAGGAGGCAGGTTCCAAATGTGAAAAAGAGGGAAAGAGGACCATGTTGTTCCGGAATGAAACGGATTAAGATTGTGTGACAAGTGCTAGATGTGGAGCTGTGAGACATTTATGGGCCGAGTCTGAGCTGGGAGGCTTTGCTTCTGTTCCTCAGAGCAGGGGCACCACGGGTCTGTGCAGAGTAAGGTTTGGGTGGGTAGAGGGACGGAAGGCATGTGTGAATATGAGAGATGGAGAGAAATGTGTGACTGTGTGTGTGTGTGTGTGTGTATTGGGAGGGTGGGGACGATGGGAATGTAGATGGATTGATGAAGGGTGTTAGCTGTCAGTTTACATAATTTTCATCTTCTGGTCCTGAGGTTTCCTTTAAATCAATTCTACTACAGGCAGCAGCCTTGAGCTTACAGAGCTGATATAAAACATCCATTACAGTCAAATATCTCGCCTGTTTGCAAACTTCATTTAAAACTGGGGTAAAAGGCCCAGGAATGGTTTTGTAAGAAAGGAGCCAAGGAAGAAAAGAAAACCACAGTGAAGCTTTAAACTAGTTTGGATAAATCTCTAATCTTTTATTTGTAACCTTTTTACAAGCTTTATTTCCCGTATATGAAAAGCTTCTTTTATTTGGGCATGACAGACTTTTCCTTTGGATTTTTAATTAGAGCCCATCAATTGTAGCCATATTTAAGAATCAATATAAAGTAATCCTTCGAGATGGGATAAGGTTTTAATCGAAAATCTAATTTCCCACTCCTTGCAGATCATTTTAAGGGGCTGGTTGGTTTTAAAAGAGTCTAATTTTTAAAGGAGGTAGCACCTAAAATATGCAAAAGATCATGTCTACAAGAAACCAACAGAGTGGCCTTACAAAGAAAAAGAAAACACCAACAATTCTGACTGTGCTTGGGAACGATTTTCTTCGACAGACAAGAATTTCTCTTATTCTCTCCACCCCCACCTCCACCCCCCTTGCAACATTATTCACCCTTG